TGACACCAACTATTGTATTCATTTGCAGCTTGTATAAGGTTAAAAATTTGGGATTATATCATAATTGAATATTATATTCAAAGTACCTCAAAATCTTAGCCATACAAGAGTTTTGGATGAATTATCCAAATATAGAAATAATAAAGATCTATTTTTAATATTTTTTTTAGATTATAAGTTATCTTATTATAAAGACATTAAAATTATTATTTTATATTTCAAATATAATTAAACACTAGAAATATTTTATGAAGATTTTCAAAGAAGCTTGATAAGATGTCTTGTAAATAGTATTTTTTCTAATATATACAAGTGTATATTGTGCAATGAGAATTGCAAGAATTAAAATATATATATATTTTACAAGTTTGAAATTATAGAACTTAATTCACGTAATTAGAATTATAGTTTTTTTATATTTAGAACTTAATTATTTTAAATTTTTAATACATCAATATAATTATTTTCATAAGTTACAATGAATATTATTTTTGTTGATTTTATAAAAATCTATGTTGAATGAAAAATACCTACTTATAATTTCTAAGAAAATAAATAGAAAGTTAAAGTCTAAAATATGATTCTCATAGAAATAAAAAATCAGTCTATTTAAATATTTTTCTTTAGTATTATAACAATTAAAATAAATATATTTTCTATTTCAATTTCTTTAATATAGATAATATTTTAAAACTCAAATAAATTATTTCTATGATGGTAATAGATATTTTTATAATAATAAATATTAATAAAAAATTAATAATATTAAAATAAATAGTTTTGTAAAAATCATATGTGATTACATGTGAATATGTATCTAATTATAAAAGTTTCGTATTTGTAGAAACTAAGACTTATTTCTAAAAATATTTTAAAAAACTAATATAAAACTATGAATTAATTAATTTATGTAGGCATATATATATATGCACAAACATTTTACATATTTGAATTAAAATTTTAAACCATAACGTAAAAGCTTGCTGAGATTACTAAATTTGTCGTATATAGTTTTTGAAATCAGTCTTTCATTTTTTAATTTTTCTGTATAAGCATAATTTATTACAAATGAAACAAAAAATTCATTTATTTTTATAAAAAAATAATTTTATAAATACTACTATTAATTAGATCTTAAAAAATATATAATTAAGTTTGAGATATTAAAAATTGAAGTTGAATATATTTATATGAAAACAGCAATTGATTATCAAAATAATTATTGTAAAAAAATTACACATATCTATATATATATATATATATATATATATTCAAATAATTGTTTGTGGTTTTTTGAGTACGAGTTGTGTACACTTTTTTTTTCTAATTATAATAAAATCATCAGTAAGAAGTAATTAACGTGTGTATTCTATTCTTTTCTCTTTTAGTATTGTAGTATTTTCAAATTTTAGCTATCTGTGCATATTTGTATATGGATGATTATGCTGAATATAGTATTATAATTTAGAATTTTTTTTAAAACAATAATAAATACTTATTTATAATACTTAATTATAGGTTTTTGAAAGATACTTTTGGTGTAGTTTGCCAAAATAAAAATACAATTTAATGATAATTATAAATCTTGAAAGGTTTTTCTTCTTATTTACAAAATGTTTTTAAAGGCCTTCTAGACCTCCAATTGTTGTTAACTCTTTTGTTCAACCTTGGGATTCATATAAATACATGTTTGGAGTCAAAACAATACAAAACACAATTTAAATCAATAACTAACTTCTTCTTCTTTTTTTTAAGCCAGAAGAAATTTGATCTTAGACACGATTTTCTTTTTCTTTTTCTTTTGTTTTTTTGGTTAATGTTGTGCATGTTGGTTTCATCCATTGATACTGCTTCCACTTTAAAAGCTTAAAATTTCTACTTAAAACCTCTGCCTTGATCAGTATCTAATTTTTCATTTAAGGTTGAGTAGTTTTTCTAACACTTCAACTCCACTTATAATCTTTCAAGGACTTCATTTCTTTACCTTACCCACAACTTTGAATGATAATGCTCAGGTTTGATTCATAACTGCATTCATTTTGTTAATTTTATACTATTGATGGGCATTTCTTAAAGCTTTCCATTTTCTCTTGCTCTTGCAAATTTTTTTTTGAAAGCAGGCATATACAAGAATCATTAAAAATAAATAGAATTCATCTATTATTTAATTTATTTGCTAGCAAGGCTAGAAAAAAATTACACAATATTAAATTCTTTTAAAAGTCACTATTATTCCATATTAGTTTATGATGAATGGC